TTTGTAAACAAATAATTATCCCGTTACAAATAATGTATATTAAAGTGTAGTTCTGCTGTATATTTAATATTTATTTGTTCTACTAGTTAAAAATATTGTATTAATGTTCATACCCACCGATATTGGGGTTCGAGATATTACAATATGTCCTTTTAATAATATTTTAATATATTTTTTTTATGAATTTATAATTTATCTAATATTTTAACTTATATATTAAAGTTATTTGATCATCAAATTGTTATTTAGGTAATGATGGATAGATTGACATATTTGTTTATCCACCATGGGGTAGACTTTTATTGAATTAAAGATTTTCTGTTATAAATAAGAATTTGAAACTCTTTACTTATTGATGAATAAAACATTGAGACATTAAAAATTAACTTATATTTTAAAGGGTATTGAGGTTACTATTTAATTATTGAGTCAATGCTCGCTTAATTGTTGAATAAATATTAAAAATTCTCAAGATGAATTAAGCTTACCATAAACACTTTTAAAATAATATTATTAATTATTAAATAAAAATACTAAAATTTTTCGAATTCAAAATCTCCGAATATCTCACATTTGAAAATATTTTTTGAGAAATTCATGAGTTGGAAACTAGTCATATAATTAGTAAATATTTGTGACTAATTATCTCATTTATTCGAGATATTTAACACCTAAAACTCCTACCATAAAATTGTTATAAAGGTTTGGGTGTTTGAAGTGTGTAATCTTGTCTAACTCTGTTTGAATTTTACTTGGAAGCTTGCTGTTGTGGGGGGATACTACTTCGTAATTTTAAAGATATTCCATCTTCTCTTAGTTTTACCAAGCTCTATATGCATGTGATGTATGTGATTCTTGTCTACAAAATAGGAAAGAGTTAGATAACTATATGTTTTCTTTATTTTTAAAATTTAACCCTAATATGATTTAAATTACATATACATAAATTTAATTGCAATATTTTAGAATTTTACATAATTATTTGACGTTTTAGCCTATAATAAATAAATTAAATACATTATTTTAAATGAATTTCATAATTAAATTTATTTAACTGATATAATCTTATTTGGTTGTTTTCTTGAAAAAAAAAAGAAAAACTATATCAGCTGCTCGAAAAAGAAAATAAAAGAAAAAAGATATACAGAATAGAAAGTGACGTCGTTTACATCGGACCACTGAAGCTTGCAATTTCAGTGCTCGTAGCGTACCCGTTGAAACTATTCGGAAGGGAGCGAAGAGTTTTGGTTCGAGCAAAAGCGAGAGCAACCATCAGTCGGGGAAACAGAGGAAAATGGCTGGAAGACTTAGCACCGTAGCATCACGGATCATGGGCGGAAACGGCGTAGTCAGCCGCTCCGTCGCTTCTTCTCTTCGTCTCCGCTCTGGCATGGGGCTTCCTGTCGGCAAACACATCGTTCCTGACAAGCCCGTCAGTGCATACCCACGTTAACTCATAAATTTCATATATCTACACGACATGTTTTGAGATTTGGTTGTACTCTTTCAATTTTCCATGGAAGCACTTACATGAAAAATCAAAATCCCTAAAAATCTTTTCGTTATTTTTTTCTTTTGGTTCAGCTCCCAGTAAACGATGAGCTGGTTTGGGACAATGGGACTGCGTTTCCCGAGCCTTGCATAGATCGTATTGCTGATACTGTAGGAAAGGTGATACGAGTTATCGATTTGCTAGCTATTTTTCTGTTTTTCTTTTTGTTCTTTTTTTTCCCTCGAAATTTGATCGTTTATGACAATGCAACTTAATAGATTAGCTGTAATTTTTTTTTGGCAGTATGAAGCGTTGGCTTGGCTCTGTGGCGGTTTAGGGTTCTTTGCTAGTCTGGGGCTGTTGGCTGTATGGAACGATAGGGCATCGAAGGTTCCATTTGTAAGTAAAAAAATTCGGTGTTTGATTCTTTAATTTGGTATTTATAGTTATTGCAGTATAGGTTTATCAGTGTTATGGAGGCAAAAAAATCATTTCTTGGAGTCCTACATCTATAAAATATAAGCATATCCTAGCTTTTAGAGAGATCATAGATTGCCGATAAAATTGGTCTGTTTTGTTTCCACTGTTGTTGAACTCGAGTAGTTGGGTATATTAGTTTGGCATTTTTTTGATCTAGTGTGAGGTATCAATTAGAAAACCAATTTGGATCCAGCAATTGGAAACCCTCCCGTGAATTTGTCTTCTATGTGAATCTAAGCATATGTTTTCTGACTAAACTTATTGATGGCTTCAGCCCAAGCCTCACACCTGATTGCTGCACTTGTTATAGGACATCTTTAGAAGGTTCTTTTGAGGTGACAAAGTGGAAGAGTTAAGAAAGTTTTGCAAGTTGGTGTTTAAGGACCAATATTGAGGTGGATTGGGTATCATCACTTTATTTTTACTATGATTTCTTTAGGTAAATTGTTGTGAAAAGGGGTTTTCGGTGCCAAATTGAGGCTAGAGGTTTTGGGTGGACCTCAAATAAGATCAGGGTTTCCAGGTTGGAGTGTAGAAGCAAATTACGAAGGCTTGGATTATTTATTAGCTATTATTTCAATGAGGACTCTCTTCTTTTGGCATGGGAAAAGGTGCGAGGATGTTGTTTTAAGAGTTTGTGCTAGGATTTTTTTCCCCTTAAGTATTATGAGGGGCTTCAGTTGGTAGTTGTCTTATTGGAAATGGAGAAGTAGTTTGAAGTGTTATTTTCAGTTGAAATGTTCAATACGAACTTTGCTACCACTTGGTTTCTTTGAAGTTAGTGAAGTGGCCACTTGTAGAGAAGGAGCTTGTGAGTTGATCCTAAAGTGTGTTGGATGATTCCCTAATAGGAAAGTGTTGAAATTCATGACTTGCATGGGGAGATTTTGGCGGGAGATAATTCGGGCCAAATATGGGGTAAAAGAAGGCGGAAGCTGTAGCATAGGTAGAGAGAGTTTGCTCTATGGGACTAGAGTGTGGAGATGGATCGATAAGGATTGGAGGCCTATAATGGATCTTCTTGTGTTTAGCTTGCAAATGAGGGGTTTTGGGGGGACAAAAGGTGCAATTTAAATTTCATTGAGTGCTTACTACCTCATATATGTATATACATGTCAGGGGCAAGGAAGTGGCAATAAGTGAAGTTTTGAAGTTTGACTTGATTGAAAATGTTGTTTGGAATATCCATCTCGATGGAATCTCGGTGATTGAATGGTGATCGAGTACATGGTGGATGCCTCTAGGGAAGATTTCTCAGTTTGGTCCATTGCCAAAGATAGAAAGTTCTTGGTGAAATCTGTGCCCAAAAATCACCTCTTTCACAATATGGTGCATTTGAGAGTAGGAATCCCCCAACCATCTAATTCTTTGGTGTTCCAAGGCTAGAAGGTTGTTGGATTTTGCATTTCTTCTCAAGTTGATTAATTTGGGCTGGTGGCAGATGAGTTGGTCATTGGGGGTGGGGGATATTAGAATTTCTAAATCTAGAAAGAAGCTCGGCAATCTTATTCATATGCTTATATTTTCAGTGTTTTGGATGGGTAGGAAAGCAAAGATTTTTGAGAAGATTTTCTCTGCTATTGCTAAAATTTAGAGACTTGTTCGATTCTTGGTAATAGCAAACAAGTATGACGTTCATCAAAATGGATAGGATACCAAAGATTGAGTTGACATGATTGACAAAAGCCTCTTGAAGTTGAGCTCTTAAATATATTCCTCTTATTGTATTTTGCTTCCTGTAAGGGTAGGTGATCTATCTCCAATTCCTATTATTGGAAAAGTCTTGGTTGGTGGACTTTCCTCTCTCCACTTGGTTGGTGGGCAGCTTGTTTTTTAACAGAATTTCATATAAGAGTTGCTGACAGCTAGAAGCCAAATTTTCAGAGGAGGAGGTGTTCCAAAACTTGAAAGCTTGCGATGGGAATAAAGCACTGGGTCCGGATGGGTTTAATATGAACTTCTTAAAATCATTTTGGTTGCTGTTAAAAGCGGATATTATGGAGATTTTTGATGAGATGCATTATTCTGGTAAATTTGTGAAATCCTTAAACTCCACCTTCATCTTTCTTATTCCCAAAAAAGATGGAGCAAATGAATTCAAAGATTTCAGGCCAATTAGTTTGGAGGGTTGCATTTATAAACTAATCGCCAAAGTTTTGGATAGGAGACTATCCAAGATTTTGGGTGAGGTTATCAGGGAGTGTCAACATGCTTTTGTGGGTGATAGACAAATTCTCGACACGGTGATGGCAGCCAATGAAACGGTTGACGACCTTATGGCTGCAAAAAGAGATGGTTTAGTTTGTAAACTTGACATGGAAAAAGTTTATGATCATGTCAATTGG